GCTAGTTTCCTCAGAATAAATGTCTCTACATGCCATGAGATGGAACCTGACCCTCATATGCGTTTGAAAGGGATGTAGGGGCAAATATTGTAAAAAGTCGAATAAACACTACTTTTAGGCCGAAATGTTAAGGTCCGGGGTGGTCCAGCATTTTGGCCGAAAAAATTCAAATATTTAAATAGGCTAGTTTCCTCAAAATAAATGTCTCTACATGCCATGAGATCAACCCTGACCCTCATATGCGTTTGAAAGGGGTGTAGGGGCAAATATTGTAAAAAGTCGAATAAACACCACTTTTAGGCCGAAATGTTAAGGGCCGGGGTGGTCCAGCATTTTGGCTAAAAAAATTCAAATATTTAAATAGGCTAGTTTTCTCAGAATAAATGTCTCTACATGCCATGAGATGGAACCTGACCCTCATATGCGTTTGAAAGGGATGTAGGGGCAAATATTGTAAAAAGTCGAATAAACACCACTTTTAGGCCGAAATGGTAAGGTCCGGGGTGGTCCAGCATTTTGGCCGAAAAAATTCAAATATTTAAATAGGCTAGTTTCCTCAAAATAAATGTCTCTACATGCCATGAGATCAACCCTGACCCTCAATGCGTTTGAAAGGGGTGTAGGGGCAAATATTGTAAAAAGTCGAATAAACGCCACTTTTAGGCCGAAATGTTAAGGGCCGGGGTGGTCCAGCATTTTGGCTAAAAAAATTCAAATATTTAAATAGGCTAGTTTCCTCAGAATAAATGTCTCTACATGCCATGAGATGGAACCTGACCCTCATATGCGTTTGAAAGGGATGTAGGGGCAAATATTGTAAAAAGTCGAATAAACACTACTTTTAGGCCGAAATGTTAAGGTCCGGGTGGTCCAGCATTTTGGCCGAAAAAATTCAAATATTTAAATAGGCTAGTTTCCTCAAAATAAATGTCTCTACATGCCATGAGATCAACCCTGACCCTCATATGCGTTTGAAAGGGGTGTAGGGCAAATATTGTAAAAAGTCGAATAAACACCACTGTTAGGCCGAAATGTTAAGGGCCAGGGTGGTCCAGCATTTTGGCTAAAAAAATTCAAATATTTAAATAGGCTAGTTTTCTCAGAATAAATGTCTCTACATGCCATGAGATGGAACCTGACCCTCATATGCGTTTGAAAGGGATGTAGGGGCAAAAATTGTAAAAAGTCGAATAAACACCACTTTTAGGCCGAAATGGTAAGGTCCGGGGTGGTCCAGCATTTTGGCCGAAAAAATTCAAATATTTAAATAGGCTAGTTTCATCAAAATAAATGTCTCTACATGCCATGAGATCAACCCTGACCCTCATATGCGTTTGAAAGGGGTGTAGGGGCAAATATTGTAAAAAGTCGAATAAACACCACTTTTAGGCCGAAATGTTAAGGGCCGGGGTGGTCCAGCATTTTGGCTAAAAAATTCAAATATTTAAATAGGCTAGTTTCCTCAGAATAAATGTCTCTACATGCCATGAGATCAACCCTGACCCTCATATGCGTTTGAAAGGGGTGTAGGGGCAAATATTGTAAAAAGTCGAATAAACACCACTTTTAGGCCGAAATGTTAAGGGCCGGGGTGGTCCAGCATTTTGGCTAAAAAAATTCAAATATTTAAATAGGCTAGTTTTCTCAGAATAAATGTCTCTACATGCCATGAGATGGACCCTGACCCTCATATGCGTTTGAAAGGGGTGTAGGGGCAAATATTGTAAAAAGTCGAATAAACACCACTTTAGGCCGAAATGGTAAGGGCCGGGGTGTTCAGCATTTTGGCTGAAAAAATTCAAATATTTAAATAGGCTAGTTTCCTCAAAATAAATGTCTCTACATGCCATGAGATGGACCCTGACCCTCATATGCGTTTGAAAGGGGTGTAGGGGCAAATATTGTAAAAAGTCGAATAAACACCACTTTCAGGCCGAAATGTAAGGGCCGGGGTGGTTCAGCATTTTGGCTGAAAAAATTCAAATATTTAAATAGGCTAGTTTCCTCAAAATAAATGTCTCTACATGCCATGAGATCAACCCTGACCCTCATATGCGTTTGAAAGGGGTGTAGGGGCAAATATTGTAAAAAGTCGAATAAACACCACTTTCAGGCCGAAATGTTAAGGGCCGGGGTGGTCCAGCATTTTGGCTAAAAAAATTCAAATATTTAAATAGGCTAGTTTCCTCAGAATAAATGTCTCTACATGCCATGAGATGGAACCTGACCCTCATATGCGTTTGAAAGGGATGTAGGGGCAAATATTGTAAAAAGTCGAATAAACACTACTTTTAGGCCGAAATGTTAAGGTCCGGAGTGGTCCAGCATTTTGGCCGAAAAAATTCAAATATTTAAATAGGCTAGTTTCCTCAAAATAAATGTCTCTACATGCCATGAGATCAACCCTGACCCTCATATGCGTTTGAAAGGGGTGTAGGGGCAAATATTGTAAAAAGTCGAATAAACACCACTTTTAGGCCGAAATGTTAAGGGCCAGGGTGGTCCAGCATTTTGGCTAAAAAAATTCAAATATTTAAATAGGCTAGTTTTCTCAGAATAAATGTCTCTACATGCCATGAGATGGAACCTGACCCTCATATGCGTTTGAAAGGGATGTAGGGGCAAATATTGTAAAAAGTCGAATAAACACCACTTTTAGGCCGAAATGGTAAGGTCCGGGGTGGTCCAGCATTTTGGCCGAAAAAATTCAAATATTTAAATAGGCTAGTTTCTCAAAATAAATGTCTCTACATGCCATGAGATCAACCCTGACCCTCATATGCGTTTGAAAGGGGTGTAGGGGCAAATATTGTAAAAAGTCGAATAAACACCACTGATAGGCCGAAATGTTAAGGGCCGGGGTGGTCCAGCATTTTGGCTAAAAAAATTCAAATATTTAAATAGGCTAGTTTTCTCAGAATAAATGTCTCTACATGCCATGAGATGGACCCTGACCCTCATATGCGTTTGAAAGGGGTGTAGGGGCAAATATTGTAAAAAGTCGAATAAACACCACTTTCAGGCCGAAATGGTAAGGGCCGGGGTGGTTCAGCATTTTGGCTGAAAAAATTCAAATATTTAAATAGGCTAGTTTCCTCAAAATAAATGTCTCTACATGCCATGAGATCAACCCTGACCCTCAAATGCGTTTGAAAGGGTGTAGGGGCAAATATTGTAAAAAGTCGAATAAACGCCACTTTCAGGCCGAAATGTTAAGGGCCGGGGTGGTCCAGCATTTTGGCTAAAAAATTCAAATATTTAAATAGGCTAGTTTCCTCAGAATAAATGTCTCTACATGCCATGAGATGGAACCTGACCCTCATATGCGTTCGAAAGGGATGTACTGTAGGGGCAAATATTGTAAAAAGTTGAATAAACACTACTTTTAGGCCGAAATGTTAAGGTCCGGGGTGGTCCAGCATTTTGGCTGAAAAATTCAAATATTTAAATAGGCTAGTTTCCTCAAAATAAATGTCTCTACATGCCATGAGATCAACCCTGACCCTCATATGCGTTTGAAAGGGGTGTAGAGGCAAATATTGTAAAAAGTCGAATAAACACCACTGTTAGGCCGAAATGTTAAGGGCCAGGGTGGTCCAGCATTTTGGCTAAAAAAATTCAAATATTTAAATAGGCTAGTTTTCTCAGAATAAATGTCTCTACATGCCATGAGATGGAACCTGACCCTCATATGCGTTTGAAAGGGATGTAGGGGCAAATATTGTAAAAAGTCGAATAAACACCACTTTTAGGCCGAAATGGTAAGGGCCGGGTGGTTCAGCATTTTGGCTGAAAAAATTCAAATATTTAAATAGGCTAGTTTCCTCAAAATAAATGTCTCTACATGCCATGAGATCAACCCTGACCCTCATATGCGTTTGAAAGGGGTGTAGGGGCAAATATTGTAAAAAGTCGAATAAACACCACTTTCAGCCTTAAATGGTAAGGGCCGGGGTGGTCCAGCATTTTGGCTAAAAAAAAATTCAAATATTTAAATAGGCTAGTTTCATCAAAATAAATGTCTCTACATGCCATGAGTTTGATGCTTAACTGTTTAAAAGCTTTTAAAGTTAAGTGCATCTTCAACAATGCTTTCAAGAATGCAACAGATGGGGTTCTTGTTATATATATTGTAAGGCTATTCCAAAACTTTGGTGCGTCACAACTGAAGGCATAATTTCCTAGTGTTACTTTTATTATTTTGTGAGGTTATTAGAATGTGGATGAGGAGATTTAAAAGATAATAATTTAGAAAAAGAATTTGGGGCTTGACCATTCAAAGCTTTGTAATGCAATTCTATGCATGATTATGATATGATAATGATAGCAAAGATAATTGTAATGCTGTTGCATTTTGATGGGGGTGATGATCAAGCCTAACTTCAAATACATTTAAGCAGAGATACTCAAAATTACGTTTCGTGTGAATAGCATGTTATTATTTGTATATATATATGCAATCAGGTGTTGGGTGTTATGTGTATGAATAAGGGTAACAGTCTTTATTATTTCATAAGGGACCAGCAATTTCTTGTCGGTTTCCGCATTCTATATATAATGGTATTTTGTGTTCATCTTTTGTTATGCTGTTCGCATGTTCTCTACTTTTCTGTAAATACCAATGTTTTAATTTAATTTTGTATGTTTTTACATGTAACTGGGTTGACCTTTCTGTTCGGCAGCTTTGCTTAAAGATAATATGGAGTCCTTCCAGTATATCTGTATTTCGATATGAATCGAATAAGAAACATTCATTGCAATTTGATTTGAGTTGGAAATGAGGGTCTGGTCTTGTTGAAAAGAATCAAACTTTCTTATTAGAATAAGATGTCACAAAGAATCAACATGGTGATAAAGTACAAACACATATAGGCATATATGGGACAGTATTCATTGTACAATACTTGGCTCCACCAAAATTTCTAGACAATGTTTCGTCGAGACTGGCAAGGTGTCATATGATTGAATTAATCACCTTCCCCCCCCCCCCCCCCCATTTTCTGTTCCGATGTGGTGCAGGAGGTGAGACATCGGAAGGAGGGGTTGCTAGGATACATCTACTGCGATTTCTTCCAAAGACCCGGCAAGCCTCACCAGGACTGCCACTTCACGATACGAGGCGGGAGGTTGCTGGACGACAACTCATACCAAATGCCAAAGATTGTTCTTGCCTGCAGTATGCCGTAAGCACATATACCGTGCGAGTCAATAAACCTTGATTCAAGCCAGAATATCTTAAAAACCAAGTAAAATTGCTGAAATATATTATAATAGTATTGATAATGTCTTCTTTAATTTGATATGTTGCTCATCATAAAAGCGATCATGGATGATTAAACACTGCCTTTTTTCTGTTCAAAAAGCATGCCAAAAGTCGCCTTTGCCAAAACTTGCCCAAGTTGGATGAATAAAGTTGCTTTCATCATGTATGAGGTGAATTCAACCGGTAAAAACTATTCAACCAAACCCTACGTTCACCATCAGTTTCATCAAAACTTGGACTGATGCAAATTTGTTATTGGTAAGGAAAATTGCTACAGTTAAGCTCTCCGTGGCCTGACTTATTGTTCAAGGTGTCAAATTAAAGAAAACATTATGGAGTACAACGCAAGTGCCTTTGATTAAATGTTTATCTAATGATTGCAATAATATTTCGGGTTGAATCCGGGTTTCCTTTTTGTGACTCGCACTGTAAAGTACCGGTGTATGTTTGTGGATGATCCAACATTCACTCTGCGACGTTTATCCATCTTGCAAATATACAATGACTCACTTAATTACAGCACCGGATATCTGCCACCACTGGATATCCACCACCACTGGGTGCTCATGATGCTTTAATTGCTCTGAAATGTTTCACGGAATTAAATATTCTTAGTGTGTCATTGAATATAAGAAAACATGGTCAATGCTAGTGGTAATTGAAACTATAGTAGTGTCTAGTACATGTATTTGTTTCAATATATTTGTAAATCTGTCATTCAAACGTACATGTAACAGAGATGCTGAATTGTAACACATAACCTTTTTTGTCTTTTCTCCTCTGTATACCTTATAGATCATCAAGATCAGGTTCCCTTCCCTTGCTAACACATGGGGTGAGTCATTTATATACCAATGTCGTCAATTACTGCTGCTGAAATGTACTATCTATCTAAACCACTATATTCATCTTTATCTTCATATCTTTTTTATTCAGCAGTGTTGCTTGAATGGGACCAAATTTGCTGATAGAATTCATGGAAGAACAGAAATTGAGCTTTGGTAGCCCCACTGAGTATTTTATGTTCTCCAAAATTCATTCCCTTTGTTATAAATGTAAATCAAAAGAATAATTAACATTTAAGTGTTATTATTTTGATTTTTGTGTCTACTTTTAATTTCTGCAGATGATGGAGAATCTGTTTCATGAATTTGGTCATGCCATTCACTGTGAGTATTAACAAAATATCAGATTATGGATAATAATATTTCAGGGGCCCTGTTTTATAAAGAATTGTGATCAATCCAAATCAATCACAAGTTTGCAGTCTCCTCTCTGTAATTTACGTAGCTGCGATTGATATCAACTCTTTATAAGCCAGGGCCCTGGTTTACCCATGGTAGCCTCATCGGTATTAAGACTTCTCTCTGAGGGCCCTGCGTTCAAATACATGTATGTGTATGTACAATAGCATAAGTTAAAGCCCCTCTTAAGTGTTGGGAGCCCAAAAAATTTAATGGCAAAATTTCACTTAAATTGTATCCTAATGTGAAATAGGATTGACACATTTCTGCAAGGATTTTCAAAACAAAAGTATTTGAAGATGAATATTGATGAAAGAATACAAAATTTAGGTTTTCAGCATACACCAGAAAACCCAAATTATGTATTCATTTACCTATTTTGTCTTCAAACACTTTTTTTGGGGGGGGGGGGATCTTTGCAGAAGTGTGTCTTAAATGACATCCTCTTTACATTATGATACAATTTAAGTGAAATTTTGCCATCAATTTTACGGTAAAACCTTGAATGTGTAATTTCCCTGGCTGATTCATGCTCTTGTAGGGGTGTCAATTTGATAAAATCCTCATGTACTGTAAATCAAAAGTGATGATGCTTGGACTAGCCCTTAAATGTGTTCTACCGGTGCATTCAAAACAAACCTCTCATTTCAGCCATGCTTGGAAGGACGCGTTACCAGCATGTCACAGGGACCAGATGTTCCACTGATTACGCAGAGGTCCCTTCAATTTTGATGGAGTACTTTGCCAATGACTACAGGGTACTGAGAGAGTTTGCCAGGCATCATCAAACAAATGAGGTAGGTTTATGCCATAAGTATATCTGTAGAGGATTTGTTAAAAGATTGACTTAATAGATAAAGTTGAATTCCAGGGGATTGAGCTTCGATCAGTCTTCAGGATGGGGGAGGGGTGGCAGTGGCAAAAGCGTCATTCAACATCAAACACTTTCAAGATATTAAAATGTAATTCTGATATACTCTATTTGGGCACCTGCCCCCCCCCCCCCCCCACACCATCAATGCCCCAGACTGCACATACTTTCAAGCAAAAGGAATGAGAGGAAAACTCATGAATGTGATGAAAATAAAATAGAGTATGACTTTATTTAGCTCCATCAATATACCCAATATGAGTTAATGTGATTCATTAGAAAGTGTTGAATAGTCATGGATTTTTTTTTTCTTCAAGGTGCAGTAACCTTGACCTTTAATTTGTGTCTGTGAAGTAATTTTGGGGCTGATGACAGTTACGTCAATTCCACTTGTTAGCTTATTCCACTCCTTCTGTGTCGGAAGCTGTAATTGCTCTAAGTCGGCTGAGTTGTGTATGAGTTGATTTCTTAATCAGTTAATTTATTAAAACTAATGCTACGGTCACAAAGGTTCGTACGAACGATAATTTCGTACGAATCTCCCTGTTTTTCCATTGTCTGAAAATCGTTCGTACGGCATTTGTAGCAGTTCTGGACCTCTAGGAAGAACAGAGCCATTTTAATAATGGCTCTGAATAGAGCTTTCCAGCCGTTTTTTAATTCTTGATTTGTATTATTTGTAAATTGTATTCTTGTATGTATTGAATTTTTATACGGAAAATAAAACCAAACCAAACCAAGTTCGTAATGGCATTTGTGACCAAGGCTTAAGGTTGTTTTTTATTTGATTTATTTCCACATTTCTACAAAAAGAAATAACAAACCAATATACGAAATAAATAAATACATAAATCACATAATAAACATTAGGAAAAAAAATCACAAGCACAATAGTAAAAATACAGAATAAGATTACCGGTGAGAGCAAATTCATGTTAATATGGGAGGTTATAAAAATTCATGAGCCTATGTAGCATAACCCCATTTTCTTTTTCATTGCACACCCTTCCAGAGGAGATGATCAATATTCAATACATTAATGACATAATAAGCATTAGGAATAAAATTCACGAGCACCAAAGCAAAAATTACAGAATAAGATTACTGGTACAAGCAAATTCATGTAAATGTGGGACGTTATAAAAATCATTAACTTGATAGCATAACCCCATTTCTATTTTCATTGTAGACCCTTCCGGAGGAGATGATCAATCGCCTGTGCCAGTCCAAGAAGTTTGGTTCTGCATACGAGATGCAGACCCAGGTCTTCTACTCAATCCTGGACCAGGTCTATCATGGGAACCACCCCTTGGACAGGCCTACTGTGGAAATCTTGGAAGAGATCCAAAAACAGCACTCCAGCATTCCATATGTCCCAGGCAGTGTAAGTCATCAGAAATTCAAGTTATGAAGTAAACCTGTCTTGTAAAGAGTCATGGTATCCAACATTTTTTTAAAGGCATCGTTTAAATCTCAGATTTTAAATCTGAGATGCATGGCCCTACATGTTATCAGTGTCTGTGATATGGTGTAATATTGAAGCCCTAAAAAATTGTGCTTCAAAATCATCATAAATTGCCTAAAAAAAGTAAAAAACTTTGAGTGATAGTCTGTACTAGTGTTATAAAAACCGTTAGGAAAACAAATTTTTAATTTTGATGTCCAATCATAAATATCTTGATAATCAGACGGGCGATCGGCTTGTAAGAGTCGTGGGATTCCTGACCGAATGGTTTATAATTATGAATCTGAAGCAATGTTACCGAGTCACTTTAATGAAAATTTGTCAAAACATTCAGTGATTCACCAATTCTTTTCTGAAATGCAACAAATTCTTTGTGGAAAATACTTGCAATAGTCATTTTTTGTCCTTCTCGCTTTTAGGCTTGGCATCTTAGGTTCGGCCACTTGGTGGGTTACGGGGCCAAGTATTACTCCTACCTTTACTCCAGGGCAGTCGCCTCCAAGGTCTGGCACGGGTGCTTCGCTGCAGACCCCCTACGCCAGGAGACGGGGGAGAAATACCGGAGAGAGATGCTGTCCCATGGGGGTGGGAAGGAGCCAGCTGTCATGGTGGAGAGTAAGTGGATCTGATTTGATTTGATTTCAATTTATTTCATTAAGGGAAAGATCCATTTCATAAGGGGGTTACTCATAAACATTTGTGCAAAAATTGCATGTACATTAAGGTCGCATAATTCAATATTTTTTTTAGAGAAAAGAGAAACTTACAAATTTTCTTGTACAGGAATTAACTAACACCTTTTCTTCAATAGAATAGTGTAAAACCATAACTTTTACGCGCATGAAGTGCTTGCAAATTTCATGAGTGGTTCAGATTCAGAGTCTGGCCGCAAAGTAATGTTCTCACAGTTGACAAAAACAATAAATTTTAGCAATTCTCCAAAGTTTCTCACCATGAAAATGGCCAACCTTTCCCAAATTTTCATACTCCTAATGTTTTTAGTATTACCCTTATTATTTTGTTGTTCTTTCTTTCCCCTCTTTTTTTTCCTCACAGATATGATTGGCAAACGACTCTCATCTGAAGAACTAGTCGATGCCTTGATCGATGAAACTAAATCATGAAGAAGCCATTGCTGCGATACTGTCCTGCAAGACCATTGGGGAAAGGATGATGGCTTGGTTTCACCAGCAAGGATATATTCTGTGGACTGCTATATGACAACCAGACAGACTTTCAAACAAGAGATGGATGTGTAAAGCCTAGATGAGGCATGACGGGGTAGATACCCTGGAAGAAAAAATTACAGCTAAATTATAAACAATTCATGTGTAAACAAATGATAAGTGGAGGTTAAGGAATAAAACAGAATGTTAAAAAGGGGCCCTCATACATACTCTGTAGTTTGCTTATGGAGATGTACCGATAATATGACACACTTTGGATTTGTCACTTCATTTTGCTGCAGCAAATTTCTCTTCAGGCTGTTTAACCCTTTCAGGACAGGATTTATTTTCAGGGCTTGATTGATCACATTTTATTCTTCAAATTGGCAACAAAATTGTTTTTCCTTCATTGCTGCATTGTTCTAGTAAGACGTTATGTCTCTACGAACAATAGCTATGAGTACAAACTTTGTCAACTTTGATAAAAAAATAATGACCTCTCAATGTGTTGCCAATTTGAGAATTTTAAAGCTTACCGGCATGTTCCTTTTAAAATTTCCTGGTATTAAACGCAATATCATATGGTCATGCAATTAAAATGGATGCAGTGTACGCTTGAATATTTGCTCTTTCTACTTGTGCATCTGGTATATTTTTTAGGTGTATGAAGTTTTGTAGTAAGTTTTGAGCCTAAACCACAAAATGTGGAACGATTTTCCCTGAAGGCCTGAATGACTAACCTTCATGGTACGTGAAGACACAGACACAAAAGATGTACTTGTTACATTGCAGCGAAGAGATTTGGCTCTTTTTTATGAGAAAGAATAATCATCTTTCAAACCAGAAGGATGTTAACTCTGTAAGAAAGTGTATGAGTTGGTACCCACTGGGCTCCAAACAGATGAGATGTTAAGTGGAATCATTGTATTTATTTTCAAGAAGAGTATAGCATGTTCATATGATACTCAAAATTCTCGGTGCCATAAGTTTAGAGACTATCTTAAAAGAAAATTGTTTCTCGAGGATAAGCCAGTTTGTGGTTCGGTTTTTTGGTCATTATCAAACTGTTGCCAAAAACTGGCTTATTGTCTAGACATTCTGGCTCTGTTCTCGATACGCTCAAGCCAAAATGCCTATAATTTGTTTAGGAATTTGATATTTTTTTTTTTTTATTATTCATTACAAAATTGACAAAATTGAAATAACATATTCAAGTATGTATAAGCAATAAGTATATAATTTATTGTCCATATCAGGAAAATTTGATTTCCAATATTTGGTACGATTAATACAATATAAACATACACATAGTGAGACAAAATCAAGGGTATGCTCACTATGTTGGATATTGTGAATGCTGATCAATCGTATTTCAAGCTTACCTCTTTTTACATTCTTATTTGATAATACGTCTTCCTTCTTTTTATATGTTCATCTTTATTTTCTTAAACTAGTTTTCAAATCAGTTTGAAAATTATAATCGACTTGAACGGTTTGCCAATTATACCCAGTAGTAGCTACATTATCAGTGTCACATTGATTATGATGGTGATGATGATGATGATGATGATGATGCAGGAGGGGTGGGGTAAAAATAATAGGGTAAAATTAATGTGCTTTGACACATTTTTTTCCCAGGGGAGGGGGCATCCCCCCCCCCCCTGTATCCGCCACTGTTATTTTCCAATAACAACAGCCAATGCAAGATTAAATGGAACCAGAACATAAAACAAGTACTAGTTTTATCTAGTCCCAGCTCTACGAAATCTGTATGCCAAAGCCCCATATTATTCTGTGCATGATACACATATAAGTATGATTCTAAATCAATTTATTACTTGCTATCACATTACATCATAATGATGTACATTATGAAAAGAAATGTATTTGTTTGATATTGCTTGTCAACCAAAGTATTAAAACAATGTTCGACAAAGACTTTGACACTGATTTGAAAAATTTGTATTGCTTTCTGAAATGTTGTTTGCTGTTAGAGTATGATAAAAAATGTATCTCTGATGAAGTGTTGAGCATGATTCTAATTATATGCACAATAGAGAAGTATATGTAGCATGAAACCTGCTTATGTGAGAACCTGCATAGAAAGACACCCCACTTTATAGACCACCTCACTCTAAAGACTACCTATTTTGTTACCCTTGACATGACTTCCTATAGAAACCTGTGCTATAAAAGCATCCTGTCTATAAAGACAATTTTGACTGTGTCCCATGAGTGGTCTTTATATACAGGTTTCACTGTATTAGATTGTGGATATTAGTTTTTCAAAGGAGTTCCTTGGGTTTTTCATTCCCTTTCCAATTCTTTGTCTGTTTTTCAACATTTGTGTGTAGCGCCATCTCTTGACAAAAGTTAATAAGTCAATTAGTTCAACCGGCATTCAAACGGCTTGAGTTCTGCAAAACTAAAAATGGTGAAAAAGCTACATAAGAAAAAAGACACCCCAAAAAAGAAGAGCAACAAATAAACTTCAAATTAAATGTAAACAGAATGTTACAGCATGTTTCTGCAATTATTTAGATACATATCATATATCTAATATTCAACTACATGTACAATGAATAGCCAACTTTCGACAGAAAATATGTTTAAGCACATTTTATTTTATTCATTAGTGCGTTTCATTATAATTATCTTTTCAAAGAATTACATGTATTATCTTGCATTGTGTTATGTTGCAATAACGATTACGATGACAGCAATAGACGCTTATTAATTGCTTTAACATTATATTGTCAAGTTCATGTTGCGGTTTATAAATAATTATCATCGTCATCATTACACTTTATTAAAGTCGGCATTTTCTCTCTTACGAGGGGTACTGACAATGATGGCAATTCCTCCATTCACTTCTTCTTGTCTTGAGAATCCTCCCGATTTATAACAACCTTACCGCTTTCTTTCTACACCTTTTATTTCCATGAAATATTCGGTCTTCCTTTCCCTCTTTTGCCATCTACTTCCAGATCCCATGCTCTATTCACAAATTCATCAATTTCCCTTAACGACCCATCCATCTCAATCGACTTCTCTGGCACAGTAAAGAAACCATAGTTTCTTCCAGATCCAACCTCTCCATGAGCTCCCTTGTCTTTTTTTCTGTCGGACAGTTTCACACAAGACCTCTTCCGTATCGTGGCTCTTTCTGTTCTCCTCCATATACCTTCTGCTGTCTCCACATTCTGAACCATATACCATCGCTGTTCTTACAAGAGCCTTATACAGCTCTTGCATGATTGTAATTCTCATCGAAAACCTCTACCAGCTATATAGGATCGAGGCTCGCTCATTAAACTTCACCCAGGCACCCCAATCTGCATCTTTTTGCCGCTGTAATCTCCAACCACCACTTTTGTTTGTGTGTTGATGATGATGATGATGATTGTTTTTACCTTACTGCTAAGAAAGCATTATGCTTGTAAATAATCATCTAGGGGCCTAACGTCTTTAAGTCCTCTCTGAGTGACTTAATAAGGACCAAAGCCCAATACCAAAGGGAACGGGAATAATCATGATTGTGATAATGAAAATGGTAATAACCGTATATATCTATGACAATAATGATGACATGCGAGGATAATCATTATAACAATAATGATAAACAATAATAATGTCGTTAGACAGTTAAAAAATTACCGCGCCCCCGCCCCCGCCCCCGCCCCCGCCCCCGCCCCCGCCCCGCCCCTCCATCGAGGAAAAGAAGGAGGAAGACAACCATTTTTATTGGTTAAGATGGGAAAGAAAACCCGAGACAGATAGGTCCGACCTCCGCTCTTCGGGAGCAACATTGGGAATGGGGGCTAACAAAGGTTTAATTAAAATTGTCAAGTATTATAACTCTCGCATACAATTTTTTTTTCTTCTCTCATTCACTTTGCAGTTTGGCCTATTTGAGTATTGAATTTATATTGAAATAAACGACGAAATAAAAAACCGAGACAGATAGGTCCGACCTCCGCTCTTCGGGAGCAACATTGGGGATGGGGGCTATAAAGGTTTAATTAAAATTGTCAAGTATTATAACTCTCGCATATAATTTTGTTCTTCTCTCATTCACTTTGCAGTTTGGCCTATTAAGAGTATTGAATTTATATTGAAATAAACGACGAACATTATATGCATGTCTCTCCGAAGATGGAAGGGTCGTTGTCTTTTTAATTCAATCAATGATGCTATGTCAGAAAGATGTCAGAAAGATGTCAGAAAGATCTGAGTAGTTTGTCACGTATCCCTGGTACGAGCTATTGATATATAGTAGAATGTAATAACCAAGCTTCCCTATTCCATACTGCAGACTGTGGTAAGGTCAGGAATATTTATACGCATACTGAATTAAATAGGCCTAGACCCGTCTTCTATTCATTAAGTTATGTCAGGAAGCTACGCAGTGGGATATTGATACACCACTTCATGTCGGCAGTTTAAAAAAAAAAAGCAATGAAAACTCACATCTTGTTAGCTTAGGTCTACTTAAAGAAAGTTTTTCGGGGACAATCTTGACAAATCGGAATTTAAAAATAATCATCATCGTGTACACCGATTGCGTAAAAGCAGTGAATCTGCATTTTATTGACATCAGAAAGTATTGATAAATTGAAGCGAACTGGATAGTACCAGTGAGGTCTGTGAGGAAGAGTGATCTTGCGGATAAGCGATCGCCTTATAATGCTGCAGACGTATTGGGTTCGATTCTCAGCTACTCCTTAATCTTCTTTTATTCGAATTTTGTATTTTTTAGTCCATAATATTGACTTGCAAGAATTGAATATACTATAATCCCATGGTAAGGAAGGCACGCATACTTAATATTAAATAGACCATTTTTCTATTCATCATGTCAGGGAGCTACGTAGTGGGCTTTTGATATACCACTTCATGTCGGCATTTAAACAAAATGATAATAATATAAAAACTCACTATCTTATAATAACTGAAAGAAAGTCTATTTTTACGAGCAGTCTTGACAACATCAGACTATGAAAATAATCATCACGTATCCCGAAAGTTTAAAATCACTACCTACATTTTGAAAATGTTAACTCATTAATATAAGAATGTTTTAACAGCCTTCATATACTATAGTGAGGCAAAGTGGTATTGTGGGTTAGCGATTGCTTCACAATGCAAAGGTATGGCTATTAGGTTCGATTCCTATTGCTATACTCCCTTTTCCTATTTTTACCGGCTTTCTTTTTTTTTAGTCCGTACTAAAGATTGACTTGCCACAACCTTCTTTTTTTAAGGGGACAGAGAAACAAGAGATTGAGGGGAAGAGAAATAAAGAGATTTCTACCATCTCTCTTTAACAAATGATTCTGAATTAGGAATTATATTAAAACGCCCGATTACTTTCTTAAAGAAATCCACATCTTTGAATTTGAGACTTGGCGTGGCGTAAATATTTCAAAGTTGTTTTCCTCTCTTGAAAATGCTTGTCGTCCCGACAAGGAGAGGATGAAGGCCTACTTGTATTACTGATACACCAAAAGAGTTTCGCCCGTTTTTGGCCATGTCAGGAATTATTAAGGCTCCGTCTACCGGTAACCCCGGCGGTAACCCCTTTTGTAATGACCTGCCCAGCTGCCCCTGCATAGTAACACACACACACACACACACACAATATATATATATATATATATATATATATATATATATATATATATTTATTTGTTACTGCATATTATACCCCGGGATTATACCAGTACGCAGGATTTTTTTCAAGGGGGTGTTTTAAAATCAAAAGGGGGGGGGGGGGGTTCCAAAAAAACATACATAAAACATACACATAAAAAAAAACTCGAGGGGGGGGGGGGGTTAACCCCGGTGGGGTCACTCAATGTGACTTCCGGACCGCATGACCGTTACCAAAATCGCGGAAAAAGGGGTCAATTTCAAGCAATGTCCGCGGACAAGATATTCCTCGTCCTCGAAATAAAGAAAATAGGGGTGCACAGGTGTCCCCGAAATTGATAAATAGGGGTCAGGAAAAGGGAAAAGAGAAAACCGGGAAGAAAAATTCTCGGAGCCGAGTCTTGTCCTTGAAATATGGTAAAATAGGGGTAAATTTGCGAAAGTGTCCTTACAATCTTATAAATAGGGGTATTCCAAAGTACGATTTTGTCCTTGTTTTGACGTAAAAAAGGGGGTTAAATTTCACAAAATGCATTGGTGGTAACGGTCATATGTGTCACTCTTTGCAGGGGAGTGACCCCACCGGGGGGTTAACCCCAAAACCACCCCCCTGCGTACGCGCCTGAGTCTAACACGTTTCTCTCGTTTCATTTTAGTAGTACATGTCTACGCGGGTGTCTTCAAATCATGTAAAGAATGTAATCAATGTTTTGTTCAACAGGTTTGCCTTCTGATCACGAAAGCAAAGAGAGGACATGATATTGTTTTTTTAAAGTCGGAAACAAAATCATTTTTAAAGACAAATAACTTAAAGCATAGGAAACATTTTCCCCGGCATTTTCCTGTATACATGGTTTATTAAACCAAAATAAAGCACATGGTGATTCGATTGGAATTTTGGCAGTTATCCAAAAATGCATGCGTTTAGAATCGAGTCACATTTGATTTTCATAGTTTGAAACGAATCATATCGCACACGCAGACTTACACACCTGTGCGCGTGCGTAATTGACGCACGTGCATGAAACTTTTCTCGGTTTCATTTTCCACGCAGTTTTCCTATTGTTATTCGTGCGGAAGCAACACACAGGTATTTACTATTCCAGTATACCCTGGAACACTATCCTGGGAAGAAACTTTTAATCGTAGAATGTAACCATGGCCGAAGAATCAGCAGACCCCGAGGTTCGGGTATTGGAAAGTTTAAGGATTAATATTGGTGAGTTTTCAAAATGCTCGATGTGGGTGTGATTTGTGTCTAAGTGTGGAGTGGAAGTTTGTGGTGGAATGACGATGAATTGTGTACGTAAATTGCACTGTAACCTCGCCCCACACTTCCCCTTGTGTGCAAGCGAGGAGAAGGAGTCGTTCAGCAGCGTGTACACGGATAAGTACATGGCGAAGTGCAGATGCAGTTTCAGCGACTGTGCTGTGCGACTGGCGAAACTAGGGTCATTGATTGCGAATGTTGGAGAGCTGAAGTGAAAGTTGTAATTACTTTTGTTAGCTGCCTACCGTGGCACAATTTTGGGCTTGCTTCGTTTGGTAGAATCTGGATCCTCCTCGTGTCAAAGTCAAACTTGAAACTGTCATTTTTTAGTCTAGTAATGTCAATAACATTGATTGACATTGCATTGCTATTGTTGTAATGCATTGTTATCGTTATTAAATGAGCCATATTATGAGATGGTTTTCAGGTGAGGGTCATCAGGAGGAGAGTATCCTGAAAACGTTCTGATTGTCATTTAACTAATTAAAAATAGGACAAGTCATTAGTTCATGTCTGGCCTGGGCAAATGTGCACTTCACTTTAGGGGGATATTTTTTAACGAGAGCCAGTGACGTGATCTGGACATGAAACGTGTACTGTTGGTTTATGTAAAACCAAATTTTTTCAGAAATCAAGATTTCATAGCGTGCAGCTGCCCTTGCGTAGCGCATTGAGTGTGTGTACACCGTGTGCTATGAATTCTTGATTTCAGAAAATGTGGTTTTACATAGACATGCGTTTTATCCCGGTATTGCAGCGAGAATAGTCTACCCTTTCCATCCTCTGCTTGCCGTTAAATTATGTTCAATGGATTTATTTTGCCACATCAGGCATTTGTAATGTGAAGATGTCATGTACTATATACTAATCAATCTTGCATCAATAAAGATTTCATACATCAACAACTTTAGTCCAAAACATACACCGTATGCCATTCATTATTTGTAATTTTTCATCCAAAAATACTTAAGAATAGGCTTGGCCAGTTTACAAACATTCGTAAAAGTTTGTCTCTGTACTTTGTATCATGCAGTTTCTGGAATCATGCGTGTTCATTGTAACAGTAAATAACCAAAACAAACAAGAACAAATAAAAAATTAAAACACAAACAAACAATCACAAACACAAACATAAACAACAACAACAAACAAAAACAATGATTACAAACCTGTTTCATGCATTTGATGTACACCTGTACATGTATAATATATGGGGTAACAATCATGCATGACTGCCATCTGCCTTTAAGTATTAAATGGACCTGGTAAGTTGCAACTTTCTCACTATACTTTGTCAATACTTTGTCAAATTGTTATTATTGTTTTTGTTTTTTTCTTAAATCATTTTGGATTTATTAATATGCAATGTTTTTTAGGTGTGTATTCTCCAATCTTGAATAAAGAAATAATATTATAAATGTTGTTATTATTATTAAGCCAGCACAGCCTTCAGTAGCAAAGTTTGAGGAAATCAATTCTACATTTTAGCAAGCTTCCGTAATCCTAGTTCCAGGTTAAAAGTTAGGAGGAAGTGTTGTGTGATTCAGTGAAACTGGATACTGTATCAAGCGAAATTACATGGAAATATCAAAATTCATATTTGTATTGATGTAGTTATGTACACATGAATTGTTTTATTTTCATTCAAATTGGGTTGTCAATGACGTACACGTATGTGTTGTGAAGTGTACTTGAGTGATAGTTTTGAAATATGCTGGTTACATTAAACAAATACAAGCTGATATCAATGACTAGCAATTGATCATGATCAATTAAGTCTTGATTTAAATATCTTTCTTTGTTCCTTTTCTATCAAAATCCTTTTTGCTAGTCTATATTTATTTTAACAAAATCTTTAGCAATCAGTATGAAATTAGTCTTAGATTCTATGAGAATGTATTTGTCTTCATGACTCTGTTTTCATCAAATATAATCTTTAAAAAAGATTAAAAAATGAATACAGACATACTAATTTAGCTTTTTTCGTCTTGCACTCATCAGAGTAGATCGCAAGAATGAACAGAAAGCAGAAATCATACAATATCTAAAAGCAAAAGCTGGAGGAACAAGCATGTAAAAATAAATAATGGGCTGTAATGGCTGCCGGAAAGTAGATCAGCCATGTTATAAAAACGGGCTGTAGCAATCCTACATTGTAGATAGAATACCAACAAACTCTATACATTAGTGTCAGCACAAAACGGAAATTGAGCTGAATATGCCCAGCTTCCAGCATGAGTAAATGACTGCAGTGTAAAAAATTAATAAATCAAAATAAACAAAAGAGAAAGAGATCGCAAGAATGAACAGAAAGCAAAAATTTGAGAATACAAGTGAAAGTTAAAGGAACAAAGCACAGGAAATATTAATAGGTTGTAATTGGCTGCTGGAAAGTAAAAGTGATACCTGCCATTCTATGAAAACGAGCTGTAGCAAACTAGCAACGCAACAATGTACTGTACGTGAGAGTTCTAACAAACTACATGATTGCAGGGCCCTCAGGGAGAACAGTATGAATACTGATGAGGCTACCCTGGGTAAACAAGACATTATTATTATTATTATTATTAGGCTTGAGTCGGTACGGTCGATCACACCGGGACCCGACTGTTGCCGTCGGGTCCCGGTTTCGTTTTTTGAGAACCGACGCTCCGAAAAAAATAATGAAATATGTAAGAAATTGCAGTTTTGCACACCACTAAAATCAATCCAGCTTAAAACTTAAGTATTTAATTGTTACCAATCATATTCTAGCTCATCCTGAATCAATCCGAACTGCTGATACAAATAGTGGTTGCAAAGCAGTTCGCCCCATGGGGTTGTTGTTGCCAGCTAGCTGCTAGCTAGCTACTGTACTGGCCGGGTCTCTCGGCAGCAGTAATAAATCAGGTTGAAAGAAACATTAATGTTTGAATAATAAAACGGCTTTCTAAAAAGTACTTCTTTACAACATACCGATCGAATAATTTTTAAAAGACAAAATAGATATTTTTTCTTTGATTTTGAAGACCGCATGCTTCTTTTAAAAGCTGAAAATTACTTGGTAATCACAAGAAGTTTCGATACGGATAGCTGTTGCAAAGCAAGTTCAGACTAGTCTCGGAAAAATGCGCAGTGCACCTCGTTAGCAGTAATGCGTGCCAGAACGAACCCAAACAAAGACGTGATCGTAACGAGAAAAAAATCATTAAAAACTACGAGAGCACAATTGGAAAGACAACTACTCAAAATTATCGTAAGCAGAAACATAACTTGGAGGAAGAATACAATAGTTGTCCAAGAAAAGCCTCATAAATAGTGATATTTAAGGAGTTACTATAGGTACAATCATTATCGGAAGGGCCTGCTGCGATATCCGAATTACACGTGTTTAAATTGAACACGAGGCTAGAAACCAAATAAGGCCCTCTACGGTAAAAAGCAGTATAACAAAGGATTCGAGTATTTGCAGCAGCTAGGCCCCTTGCGATAAAAATGTACCCAGTTACTCCTCGATTATCACAATTTCTGTTGCATTTCTTGGGCGATTATTGAATTCTTTGTCCAAGTTATGTATCTGATTATGGTAATTTTGAGCAGTAGTTGTCTTTCCAATTGTGCTCTCGTAGTTTTTAATGATTTTTTTCTCGTTACGATCACGTCTTTGTTTGCGTTCTAGCACGCATTACAGCTTACGAGGCGCACTGCGCATTTTCCGAGACTAGTCTGAACTTGCCTTGCAACAGCTATCCGTATCGAAACTTCTTGTGATTACCAAGTAATTTCCAGCTTTTAAAAAAAAGCATGCGATGTTTAAAATAAGAGATAAATATCTATTTTGTCTTTAAAATATTATATGATCGGTATATTGTACAGTATAGAATAATTTTTTAGAAAGCCGTTTTTATTATTCTAACATTCATATTTTTTGACCAGATTTATTCAACCTGCATAAATCAAAATGGCGGCTCGAATGTTGGCCTTCTATTTCTGCCCCAGTTTTTTACTTTTAGAGGCACGATGATGGCACTAAACATCGCCAATCATGGATGAAAATAATGTCAAATGGAAGAAAATACCGATCTGAGCCGAGGTATGCATGTGTTGATTTATTTGATTGATAAAAAAGGTCCCTTTTAAGAGACATACTGATGATATGCGCTTTTTATAGAGGCAAGTGACAAATCCTACGAGCTGATTTCGGGACACCGGGTCCCGATCGGTGCAACGCCGTCGGGACCCGGTTTATGAAAATCCCGACATGACTCAGGCCTAATTATTATAACTCTTTCTGTCAGTGTCTGCACAAAACAGTCATTGAGCTGAATATATGCAGCTTCCAGCGTCTACTACATAAAATGAGTGCAGTGTTAACAATAAGTAAATCAAAATAAAGAAAAGAGAGAGAGAGAGAGAGGGGGGAATTAAGGGGTTAAGTTGGACAGCAAGAGTGCAAGAGCTGTCCGAGGATAATACGAGCAGCCGTGAGGAAGTGCCTCCGTCTCCCTGCACGTAACCCCACCTTTCGATGAAAGAGATCTTGGCGATCTGGTTGCTCTTTAGATGGGTAGATCAGCCCATCTGCTACTGCTGCCAAATGGGATTTCTGGAGATTTTCCCCTGAAGTGAAATGTCCTTGTTGCGTCGCTGGTCGACCAGCCGCCCCGGTGTGCCTGCCGGTGGAATGGATATTGTCAGGCAATATGATGCATAGGCCAACGTACAGGCCAACGTGAAGGCCAACGTACCTTTGACAGATCTTTAGGTTTGGAGGGAAATAGAGTAGGATTTGTTTTTAGAATGGGTTGGATTTGGATAGAAATTAAGAACTAGAGGAGACACACAGTCCTGTAGACATATAAGAAGAGGAAAGATAGAGTGAGTGAGAGCATGGCCCTCGCGTACACAGATAACGCGTGGCGCGTGCGCCACGCGTTCCTGATGGGCCCGACCTAGCGCCACGCGTTCTT